GTCTTTTGTTGGGAGATAACCTTGGATCAACCTCCAGAAGAAAAACTTCACCTTTGGGGCCACCTTTGACTTCCAGACTAGTTTCCATACAAGATGTCTATAATCCCTGCTCGGACAACCTCTGCCTAATTCCTCCCTTACTTTGTAATAAGCTAACTTAACCGTGACATTTCTCGTAAGGATTCATTCCAAATGAGGGTGTCCCTAAGTCCATGCTTACGCAAAGGAATATTAACAATTCTAGCCGTATCCTTCCTTGAAAACAACTCCTTAATGATCTCATTACGCCACATTTTTGCTTCTTGATCAATCAAGTTTTCCACTTTCATCAATGTTGGGATTTGGTCCCGAGGTTGGTCCACCATAACTTGGATATTGGTCCACCATATAACTTGGATATTTATCCACCCACCTATCCCTCCATACATCCATTCTGGTACCTATCCTCCATCGTGACCCCTTAAGAAGTACATTTCTTCATTCCAGTAAACTAGTCCACAAGTAGGAGGAGTCGACTCCCTGATTTGCAGCAAGAAACAAGTCATTTGGAAAGTATCCAGTCTTCAATACCTTAAAGCACATTGAATCCTCATTCCGGATTAGCCTTCACCCTTGCTTGGCCAACAAAGCTAGATTAAAAGCTTTTAAATCCCTCAACCCGAGACCTTCATCCAACTTTTGAGAAACACAGTGAGTCGCATTTACACTAATGGATCTTCCTTTTATCGTCCACATCCCCCCACCAATAGCCTGCCATTAAGGAAGTTAGTTGGTTTAGGAAACTGCTTGGGAGTTTAAAACATGATATAAGATAGATTGGAATTGTTTGCGCGACATATTGTAAAAGCACGGCTCTTCTAGCTTGAAAAAGAAGTTTACTACTCCTCCCTTGGATCTTTGCCTACACTCGATTCTTAATAGGACTAAGCATAGCATTTTTAGCCCTACCAAAAAACATTGGAAGACCCAAATAAGAGCCATTGTCTATAAGGATACTTAGGATATCCATTAGCTTTGCCATATGATCTAACGCACTATTTGCACTAAAGTACACTGCTGACTTATCAATATTAACCATCTAACCAGAGGCAGCTTCATAGTCACGTAAAATTTGCATCAAGCTCACCCTTTCCTCCTCCTTTGCATTTATGAAAAGTAAGCTATCATCTGCAAATAGTAGATGGGAAATCCGTGGACTACATCTTCTAATCGCTACTCCTCTTAACCTACTGTCTAACTCTAACTTTTAAAGATGGCCTCAACACACATGATAAAGAGGTAAGGCGAAAAAGGATCACCCTTAGTCCTCAAGTAGGAATAATCCTACCACACTGTTGACTGTTGATCAAAACCGAATATGTCACCATACGCACATATGTCATAATCCGGGTAATCCATCGTTTCGGGAAGCCCAATCTCCTCATCAAGACCCTTAAGTATTTTCATTCCACCTTGTTGTAAGCCTTACTCATATCCAATTTGATTGCCATATGGCCATCTCTACCCTTTCATTTGTTTCTCATATAATGTAAGGTTTTAAAAGCGATTATAGCATTGTTAAATATGGAGTGACCAAGCACAAAAGCACTTTGAGTCTCACTGATTATATTTAGCATAATTCTTTTCAACGTATAGGCCATCACCTTAGAAATAATCTTGTAGATAATGTTGCACAAACTGGTGGGTCCGAAGTCCTTAGCTGAACATGGAGATTTGAGTTTTAAGATTAGCACTAGGTTTGTGTCGTTTATTTCTTGTAAAGCTAGATTATCATTATGAAAAAATAAAATAATCCTCCTGATATCCTTCCCTATAACGTGCCAATATCTCTGGAAAAACATGGCGTTCATCCCGTCCGGCTCTGGTGCCTTCCCTGGATTCATCTGGTTCAAAACTTCTTTTATTTCTGATTCCAGGATAACCTCATCCAGACTGATATTCATTTTTGCCATAACTCTCGCATCCACCACCCACAATAACTATCAATATTCTCCATATTTGTAGACTTATATATATCTTTTTAGAACGCTTTAAAAAAAAAAAAAAAAACCTTCCACCTTCCCCTTTTTGTCAAAGCACTCCCCTGTTTCATCCTGAACCCTAGCAATTGCATTATTTCTCCTTTGTCTCGTCGCCATACAGTGGAAAAATCTTGTATTCATGTCGCCTTCTCTAAGCCACAACTTCTTCGCCCGTTGACACGACATCACCTCTTTTTAGTAAAGTAGATCGTTTAATTCTTTCTTGTCTTATTCATAACTATCTGACCTTAGTTCTTTGGTTTACATTCCCCTTTTAACTTGAGCTATTTTAGTTCTCAGATCCGCAAACCAAGAGTTACTCCAAGACATGAGTTTCCCTCCACAACCTTTCATCACCTCGCATAACTCCATGATGTCTGTTGGCCGACTTTTTGCTCACTCACTATGAATAATATTCTCACAATCTGCAAGGCCAACCTATAGATTCTCAAATCTAAACATCCTGTTACCTTTCCACGTATCTATGCTGGTCTAATGTAGGGAAAACATCAACGGTAGATGATCAGAAGTGCTTGACACCTTGTGCCTCTCCAACAATTATGGGAAAAGAGTTGAGAAGAGATCATTAAATAGCCCTCTATCCAACCTCTCCAGTATTTTTTCCGCATCGACCCTTCTAGTCCACGTAAAATTTGGCCCCAACATTGAAACCTCCATGAAGCCACAGTAATCTACAGCCCCCCTAAAATTGTCAATCTGACACTTAGGTCTTTGACTCCCACCAAGCTTTTCATCCTCTACTAATAATTCGTTGAAGTCACCTGCACACAACCATGGTAATGAATTTCTATCTTTAAGAGTTCTCAGTAAGTCCCACTACTCCAATCTCTTATGTGTTTTTGGTCTTCCATAAAAACCTGTAAATCTCCATCTCTCGTTATCCCTAAATCCATCTACAATAACATCAATTTGGGATTTTGAGAGAGTCAGCAAAGTAACATCCACCTATTTCACCCATATAAGCATCAGTCCTCCACTCCTACCTTTACTTTCCACAGTAACAACATTGTCAAAACCCAACTTGTACCTCAACCAATTTATCTCATTCATTTTCTTTTTTGTTTCTGATAGGAAAATGAAAAGAGGCTTATTTCCTTTGACCAACCTGGTCAGCTTATGAACTGCACATGCAGCCCCAAGCCATGGCAGTTACACACCAATAGACTCATTGTTTTCGGCAAGGTTGGCCCTCCTTGCCAACCAGTGTCAATAAAATAGGAAGATTTCGTCCATGGTCCTCCTTTCCCACTTGTTCTTTCAACTTTTTATGCATGGAGCATAGGCTGTTTGGTACTAGCCCTCCGGCATGGTCCTTTAACTCTCTTCCATTTGCGATTTGAATTAGCAATTGATATTGGGACCCTTGTCCACGGGCTAGAGCCACCCTATTTTGGGCTATCAAAACCCAAGCCCAATATGCCCAATTCGGTTCCCTGATGACAACCATAATTGCTGCTAGAAATTTCATTTAAAATCTCAGTACCATCCATCAATGCTTGCCCTAAAACATGGGACATACGTCTCTCAACATCCGTTAACCTCGCAACATTCTCTGCCAAAGAATCCTGTTCTATATTGACCTCCATGGAATAATTAATTCATATAACTTATTTTTTTTAAAATGACATCCAAAAAATTTGTAATTCAAATTTCAATAGTTGTAATTCTTTCTTCTATAATCTATTTTCAAACTGTGATCACCTATTACTGGTTGAAAGGTCCATCCCAAGATATTATTATCTTTTTTCTTTTTATTAACCATGGTGTTTTTCTACGCAAATTGGGAGTTACAAACTATATTTGGATGGTTGGCTTAATTTCCAAAACCCAAATAATACCAAGTAGTAAATTTTTAGGGTATTAATAAAATATTATCTACTACTAGAATGGTTGTCCAAATTAAATTTGAGCCACCTAAATTAATTAAATAAATCATATACGAGCCTCGTAGTTTAATTAGAAGCAAAAAAAAAAAAAGAGAGAGAGAATCAACATAATCTGGCCGACGGATATGGGCAAAAGTCGATGGACCATAAACGTGAATATATCTCCGTCTACATCAATCTATAATGTGCAGGGTTATGGATCTTCTATCGTTTGGCAGGCAAGAAGAAAGGACCAGTAAAATGATTGATTGCTGCCGGCCCTGCTTCATTGGTATTTAAAACGTGGAATTCCATTTTTGAGGCAAACAAGACTTCCATTTCAAATGGAACTTTTGGTTTACATGGTTGTGGATAAGCCTACACGTTTATGTACAGTATATCCTTCCCTTCTTTGACAAGGAAATACATATGGATTCATCAGTCTTCATCAAGCCTCTCTGCCCCTGCTGATACCACCAAGTCACCATTTCATAATCTGAAGGCATTATCATTCAACAATCAAAACATATATGATTTATTTGGTGTATGACTGAAAACATATAGTACTCTTTTCCTTTTTGAAATAATAAAATCAAGAATAAAGAAGAGGGATTTTATTTCACCATGAATTTTGTTTTTCATTAGATGATCATATATATTCACTGGATAATGGATAGGCAATGGTAGAGTTCATTTTTTCTGAAAGCGATCATGGTTTGAAGATTGAAAAATAAGTTACGGATACTGAAATTTAAATCTCATTAAATGCCAACTTTTAAAAGTGATTACATAATCAATTATACTAAAACTCGAGTTTGATCACTTATGTTATGCAAATGGTGCATTCCGCTCATCTAATCCTTAAATATTTACGAGATTATATATGACATCTCACGTTGTGTATAATAACAAATCCTAATTGTTACTTTCTGCCTCTGGCACAATTTTGTGCACAAAAATGATGATCATCTTAAAACATTTACGAGATCAACGACGTGAGATCATCTCCTCATGAACAGTAACAATTTTCATTAAGCAAATAGGGAAATATTGGCGATCTTCTTTAACGCTGCCAAAAGAAAAAGCATTTAACCTAAACTCAAAATTTTTAAAACATTTTTTTTCTGTTACACCTGAAACATGAATTGTTATTTGATAAAGGGATAAAGAAAGGAGTATCTCAAATTTAGAACACTTGGTTATAAAAATGTACTCTAATTAGAGGTAACCGATAGACGGACGAAACATAAACCTGTTTGTTATTAATTGTTAACACTTAAACGTAAGCCGTGCTGCGGAACCTCTTAATGATGCAAAGATTAAGGGTTCTAAGGAGCATCTGGTTGCTGGTGCACCTTGGTGTCTTGAATTGACTAAGTGCCGCCCCATTCCCTATGAAATAATCCAAAATCTTCTTGAAAGTCCCTCTTTCAACAATGCAAAGCTCCAAAGGTCCAATTGAGTTGGTTCTCCTTGATACAACATAGCCGTGATCCACAAAAGAAGCATCCATTTCGCAACAGCACTCACCCAGCACCCTCTCCTCCACTTCTCCTTTGATCTCCCAATAAATTATGTAGTGCCCTGGTTGATGCAACACATCGGCATGGCTCGTGAAATCAACCAGCTCTGCTCCATACTTGCTTAGCAGCTGAGACCCTCTTTCTACCACTAGCTGAAGGTCCTTTTCAGTGTTCTTGTCAATGTTAACAGTTAATATTAGCTTTCTCCTGCATATAAAGTTCAACTTTGGGGTCCCGTTATGAAATCCAGCCACTTCCACCACATCTCCTAGTCGACATCTGTAAAGCCCTGCCAAACAATGCAAGTGAAACAAGATATTTTACGATCTTGAAGGAAAAGCCCAACAAATGAGCTGTCATCTCTGAGAACCACACAAACCTTACTAGAATAAGCAATAACACTTAAAGCATGATGTTTTTGTTCCGAATTGAGCTATCCTCCATTCCAGACTAACTTTCCCAAATTCTACTAGTGGATATAATAGTATATCGCTGAAAGGGATTAGATTTATCCAAGGTTTATTTGCATTTACTTTTGCAAATCAAATTTTGGCCTGTTCTAGGATAATACGGCAATGGTACTGCAATGAATCTACTATAAAAAAGAAGAGGGTAATCTTATGTACTAGGATAAGTTGTCGGTTCTCCCTAGGTTGATCAAAAGTTCAATGATCAAAGCCCTAAAAACTCTGACTTGGATGTAACAGTCATGTTATACATCGAGATTATTGAAATTTGAACATGCAAATTAAACTTGCATAATGGAGACTAAATGAATAAATAAGTAGGGAACATTAAATTTTCGTTGAAACTGAAACTCAAGTTAATTACGATAGTGGGAAATGTAGAGATAGAAAAAAAGTTTACCAGTAAAAGTAGTAAGGACAATCTCATATTCTTGTCCAACCTTGACTTGGGAGAGTGGAACTGGTTCATCTTCTATGAAGTCAACAGTGCCTGAAGTCAAGTCTTGGTTCTGTCTGTAGAGGGGTATAAACTCGAAATAAGAAAAAGTGGGCATTACAGCAAAAGTGACATCCTCAGGGGGCAAAGAAGGATCCAAATTCACACCAATCCAACTCTCAGTTGACCCGTAGTCAGCACTCACTAGCGGTAAGGAACCAGCATAATGCCTTAGCTTTTTCAAATATGGTTGCATTGAGCCCGTCATTATAGAGTAGACATACTTTGCATTTGACCACAGCTTAGGAATCAAGCTGTTCCAGTCTGAAGCTTGTGACTCTTCGCATATTGCTTCAATCTGTGAAGCCAAAGATGGGTCAGGAGAAATTATATCCAACACGGCTTTTCGCATCGTCGGCAAAGTTATTCTTGTGCTAAGAGTGCCTTCTTTGATATCATTGCATATTTCCTTCCAGTGCTCTTCAAACGAGGCAAAGGCCTGGACTATGCTATAAGCAAACGTTGAGGTGATGAACTCAACTTGATCACAGAAGAAGAGGCCAAGTAGGAGATGACAATAAGTAGTTTGTTTGTAGTCTCCACCAGAAATAACTTCCTGTGGGCTGCAAGTGAATGACTTTGTCTTCTCTTGTTTGATTTTGAATTCTTCACTAGCGAAATAGTGGGTTGTTGCTGTTCCTGCTGTTAATCCTCCCTTTGTTTTAAACTGTTTGCTGCTATATATGAACTCCAAGATTCTTCCTCCGGCTCTTGTTGGATAAACCCTGTAAAATAAAGAGAAAGGAATCAGCACATAACCAAAGAAAAACGACTTTATCCTGCTAGCTGACATAAAGAGAGGTAAAGTTATACGGACGACTGAACTGAAGAGATTAATTAAAACGTGGGTAGAGCTCTATGGTGAAAGAGACCATATATTTGATGGTTGAAAAGAAATTTGACTATGGATTTGATTGAGAGAATTAGGAGGGATGACCTTGATCTATAAGCTGCTGCCAACCTGAAAATCTGCAAAGTAGTCTGGGAGCTATGGCGGGTAAAGGGTACGAACTTCTGTCTCCCTTCTGTGGTACCGGAGCTGCAAACCAAAAAGCCATAATGAACAAAAATAAAACCATTTGAAAATCATCAATAAATTAGATTATGAGAACAGTAGTGATTTTTAAAATACGGGGGAAAAAAGAAAAAAAACGAGGGATTGATTTTATTTCAAATCAACACGACAGGGAGATACGAATACTTCAACTTTGGTTCCAAATGAGAGGTTTCTCTTGTGGCGAATCGAACGCATGAGTCATCATATATTCCATCTTCTGGTTCGTTTCTTCACATGCTAAATCTAAAAGATGACTTTATAGGATAATGAAGACCCGATAAAAAAAAAATCAGTAGAAAAGAACAGGAAAAGTGAAACAGTTATGCGTACCTTAGAGAGAGAGTGGTTATAGGTTGTTGGGTGAGAATAGGAGCTGTGTCTCCATCTGCAATTCGTTGAATAAAAGGCTCCAAATCTGCATGAGAGGCTAGAGGCACTAAAGAGGTGTAAAGAGATTCTAATGCACATACATCCTTCTCTTGGATTTTAATGTCCCCAAACCATTTTTTCAGGTACTCCACACCATAATTCAGTTCAAGAATCCGGCCAAGTGTCTCCCTCTGAACCACGGCGGCGTTCTCCGATATACTATTGAACCAACTGATAATGTCGTAGTCATAGCTACCAATGCCATTACTAGTCACAGCTTGAGCTGGTTCCATCAAGACGGTGGTGCTGCAAGTAGCAGAGGAGCCAAAACGCAAATAATAATAATAACAATAATAATAATTGTAAATAAAATAAAATAAAGTAGTTTGCTCTAGCAACTAGTACTGGGTCTTTCTCTCTGTTTCTCAGAAATAGAAGCCAAGGCCACACTTGAAAATATCATTCTCATGCATATGGCCTATTCATCTAAAGTGTTTGTCCCTTATTGAAAAGCTCAACAAACCTCCTAATGTTGCAGAAGCTCCACCGTAGAATGGTACGATGGTTTCTAGACCACAAGTCATGGTGTTGTCATTTTAGAGATAGAGAAAAATTCTTATTTGAAAAGATATATATGGAGAAGAATATGCCAGGGGACCAAGGCCAACTAGCTTGGCACCATGCCCAACTAGGTCTGACGATAGCTTGGCACCATGCCCATTTCCCTCCAAGTTTATAAGCCATCAATTGAAAAGTGATATAGTTTCCATCCCCATTTTGGGTTGCAATTTGCATTTGGTTTCTAATGAGCTTTTATCATATTTTGGAAAGCTCAACCCAAGATTACATTGCAAGTAAATCCATCGTTATTCATTTTGGATATGCTATTGGCATATGATATATTTGTTATTCCATGCATTGGTGGGTCGCTACCAAGGTTCTCTTTTTTGTTTTCTTTCTTCTTTTTTTTTTCTTGGCCCAAAGTCCAAAAGCTTCCCTGTCTGCTGACTCGGATGGTTTCAAGATCATTAGTTAATTTGTTTGTGGATTTTTGGCAACGGAAAGAAAATGTTGTCAGAGTTAATTGTATCAATTATGACAAATAAAAGAAGTGTTTTAATGATTAATTGTCATTTGGTACTTCCTCGCTTTTAATCCCTTTTGGCTATCACTATCATAAATTATTTTATAATCGATGAAATTTTATTAAAAAAATTTTTTATTGATAATTATCAATAAAAAAAATTTATTGATATTAACGAATTATTAATAAAATATCAACAAATATAATTATAAAGAATTTTTAAAATCATTGATGAAATGTCAACAGATTTTATTTTGTTGATAATCCATAAATAATTCATAAGTAAAAATTTGACACAAAAATTACTAACAAAATTTTTGGTTCATAAAAAAATTTTAGAAAAACTTAAAAATGGACGATTACTGACGAAATTTTCAAATCCGGAAATTGAAAAAAAAATTAAAACCCCCAATTCCTGAATCATGAAACTCCAAATTCCCCATTTTCAAATCCCTAAACATTCTCTTTCTCTCTCTCCCCTTCTCCGCTAGACCTCTTCAACTGATAATACTGTGCTTCCAGGTCACTGACTGTTCTCCAACGTCCGGTCCTCTCCTCGATCGTGCTCCACCACCAAAGCCTCTTCTCGACTGTTTTCCATCATGGGTAATCTCGACCGTCGATAAATATTTGAAGGGAATTCCTTTCATTATATAATTTTTTTTTGGCTTTTTTGTACTTTGAAAATTTGCCCAAATTGTTCATCCTGTGGGTGATGACTTGAAGAAGGCACTATAAGTAAAAAAATTTGCTAACGGAAGTTTTAAGCACACTTTTTAAAATTATTATATTAAATAATATATATTCTTAATATATGTACATGAAAATTCATCAAATAAATTATTCTTATATTTAATAAAAATATTTATATAAATAATAATTCAATTAGCACTTGAAGGTCAAAACTCAAATTATCCAAAAAGAATTAAGCACATAAATGCTGCCAACCAGCAATAATAGTATAATTTACCAAAAATAAAATTAGCATTGATTCCATGTCACGTGACTTCCATCCCCTCTATTTCACCTATGTTGGTTGCCATGGTAATAATGTATAATAATATAAAAATATAAATTACTCGTAAGACTCATTGCAAAAAATTTGACATATAGTGACACTAAAAAAAACATTAATAAAACTTCAAAATCTATTAGTATAACACCATAAATTTTATCTTGACGGTCAAAATATATATTTTGATAAATTTTTAACAATTAATGTATCATTTGTCAGTATAAATTTATACTAATAATTTTAAAAGTATCAAAATAGCTTACAGAGATATACCTACAATTCAAAATCGTAAGTAAATATATATTTGTCGATATAGCATATGTTATGTGTTCTACTGTTATATCTTTTATCGACGATTAACACCCGTCAATATAGACTTATATGTTTTAATTTTTTTTGTCTATACTGACGGTTAATACTCATATGTTTTAAAGCGTTAGGTATAAAATTTAAAGCATTAGTAAAAACTTTTTTTAAAATTATATTTTTAATTATTAATATTAATTTATTTATAATCACAATATGATATGGTTTCATATAAAGTAAAAATACACAAAAAAGTAAAAATATTTAATAATATTTGAAATAAAACAACAACCAAATTGTTTTATAATCCATAAATTTAAAATAACTCAAGAACTAACATCATTGTACCAAATAAAAAAAAAACATTAATATCTATGATTAAATGTCTACAAGCATGATGTTCAAAGTTTGCGTCAAAGAATCTTCTTGATGCTATTACTAATGGCTTAACCTCGAATCCTCTATATATATTCTGAATAATGTTTTGAAGATTGTTCACATCATATGCATATTGATCTGCTGTAACTCTTGTTCCAATGTCGGAGCCACACAATTCATTTCCTGATCAGCCAGATTGTTATTTAATAAATTCCTGTAAAAGCGACACAAGCATTAAAATTTCAGAAAGAATATTTTTTCTGTGATGTTTTTATCCGAGAGGCCTAAGGATAAGTTGCTTACTAAATTAAGGAGAGAAACTCTTCCCCAGCTATATGTTCCATAGTCACATTCATCAAAAAGCTACCAATCCACAGTGGAATAGATGAAGTTTTCATTTATTTTTTATATTAAAGCTATTCCATTAACAAAAATAGTGTTGCTAATAACATTTTTAAGCCCTCATCTACTTTTCGAGGTGACAAAGACTAAGTTTAGATTCATCCAATATAGCAAAAAAATACAAAAAAGGGCATGCTCGATGACACAAAATTAAAATGCAAAAAATAAAAAATATCTTTAAAAAATGATGAGAGTCTTGATGCTTCAACTTTAATTTGGCTCTAAAACAAAATGGGTGCCGATGGGTTTAATTTTGTTGAGTCGATGAGAGGTGGAGAGAGTTGGTGGGAGGTTGAGGTAAAGAAAAATATTTAAATTCATAAGCTCATCATTTTTTTATTATTATTCAAGACGTTTTTTTGTCTAAAACACCTCAAATAATCCCTTACAAAAAATTCAATGGAGTTATTCAAGGTGTTTCTAGTAAAAAATGCCTCGAATAATCTTCTCAATAAATTTTTATGAGGGATTATTGAAGGTATTTTTGATAAAAAATGTCTTTATTAATCTCTTCTAAATTTTGTTGGGGGATTATTAAAAGCTTTTTGGCTAATAATCCCCTCAATAAATTTTTATGAGGGATTATTGAAGGTAATTTTAGCAAAAAATATCTTTAATAATCCTTTCAATAAATTTTTATAAAGGCTTATTGAAGGTGTTTTTAGGCAAAAACACCTTCAGAAACCCCTTCCAAATTTTGTTGAAAAGATTATTGAAGGCGTATTTAGCCAAAAATGCCTTCAATAATCTCTTCAACAAAATTTTTTGTTTGGATTATTGAAGCATTTTTGGATAAAAACACATTTAGTAATACCTTTAAATTTTTTTGTATGGATTATTGAAGGCATCTTTTGCCGAAAATGACTTCAATATTCCCTCTCCAAATTTTTTTGAATGGATTATTGAAAGCGTTTTTTGCCAAAAACGCCTTCAATAATCTTATTCAATTTTTTGTAAGCCAATAATTTTTTTGTTTTAAGCCTATACTGACAGTTACGTTAATAACCATTAGTATATAACATATTTATATTGACGGATAGTTATATATTGTCAGAAAAAGTTTATTTATACCGATGGTTAAATAAAGTATTGGTATAGGTATGGTATGTTCTGACGGTATTAAAAAACCATTAGTAAAAGTTTCTTTTACTGACAAAATTTAACCGTTAGTAAATAATTCATATAAAAAATTTTTTGTATAGATTATTGAAGGTGTTTTGGTCGAAAATGCCTTTCAATAATCCCTCTCCAAAATTTGAATAGACTATTGAAGGCGTTTTTGACGAAAAATACCTTCAATAATCCCATTCAATTTTTTATAAGCCGATGATTTTTTTTGTTTTGAGTTTATACTAACGATTACATTAATAACTGTCATTATATAATATATTTATACTGATAGATAGTCATATATCATTAGAAAAAGTTCATTTATACTGATAATTAAATAAAGTATTGGTATAAGTGTGGTATATTCTAACGGTATTAAAAATCCGTTAGTAAAAGTCTCTTTTACTGACAAAATTTGACCATCAGTATAACCAAGTGTCAGTATATGAAAAATATTTTGTAATGACTATTTTTGTAATTTAAATATTTTATTTATTGTAGACAAAATGGAGTTTGGTTTTAACTTTCCATATAAATAAGATTATCATATGAAGTAGTAGTCTTTTTGGGGATAAAATATCCAAAACCTTTTTTTTTATTTTTTACCACTCGATTATGGATTAAGATTATTATACATTTATATGGCATTGAGGGAAGCATCAATTTTTTTTTCCTTCTTTTTTACAATCTAACCATAAATGTGTGTTTTAAATGTAGGTTTAAAATGGATGTATATTTTATAATGAATATGCTTTTTTATTTATTTTCATGATATTAACTTTTATTATTTCCCATTACATTGACTTTGAAAGTAGAACAAGTTCTGTATGTCGAAGTATCTCATAAAAAATCTCTTGCAACACCTCAAACTGCACTGAGAAACCCAAATCAAATGTATTCTTCAATCATTAAAACCAACAATATATTGTTGTGAAAGTATTGTTTTGTAGTATGCATGATGAATTTTTGTAAGACTTTTTGTGCCATTAATGGACTATTTGTTAAAGTATACCAATAATTACCTCATATTATCATTTAGATAATTTTGTTTAGTATAACAATAATTGCTTATATGGTTAACCAATAAAAAGGTTAAACATTTTATAGGACTTTAATAGCTTATATTTTAATTTAAGATACTAAGAGTTATTTTTTTTTATCGTTATGGTGATTTGATTAGGGTTGAAAAAATGAATAAAGATCACTCTTAGATGTACTCTCATTTAGATGTAAATAGATACATTAGTCAAAACTTTTGTGATGGGGTGGAGGAAATACTTTGGATATGTTTATTCTCAACCATACTTTGTAAGTGATAGGAAAATTAGGTGTCCTTATGCCAAATGTGAGAATAAAAGGTTTTTAAAAGTGG